AAAAAAAAATATTTCAGGCAATGATTTTTATTAACTATAATATAAATAGCGATTAAAGTATGACCTAGCATCGATTTGCACACTTTTTTGCTAATAACTAATTTGCTGTTACTCATGCAGTTTGGCAAATAGCACCATTGAATTCCTCACGTTTTTTTACATAAAAATCAATTAAGTTTGTCCGGTTTAGAATTTTGTTGCCAAACACTTCGTAGTAGGGACAGTAGACTATTGGCGCTGCAAGCGCAACAGCTGTCGAGTTGTAGTACGCATTTCAAGATATAAACAGTAAACATCGGGTTAACCTTTGTACTGATAAATATTAGTGCTAGACAATTAAAATATATTTTTAATTAACTATAAAAACTGGATGAATAAAATTTTTTTTTTTTATAAATACGATTGAATTAGAGAATATTTGAGAAAAAATGTATGTATTCAAACCTTTTGTTTTCGATGAACATCTTCCAAACAGCATCGCAAAACCTGAAGGAAGGACAAAATCAAAAATACGCTGTGATGGAAAAAATTTATACATTTACAGCGGAAAAGATCCTCTTGTGATGGATTATCGAGAATTAGCTGATGATCACATTTTTGTAGCAACAAAACCAGAGTTTCGTGAGATCTGGATGTATAATTTACCCTCACAGCAATGGAAATTATTGGGAAATGAAAAGTGCTTGCCGGATATAAATGATAAAGTTTTTGGGACTATTTTTGAATCTAATTATCTGGTAATTTGTTCAATAAGAGTACCTTTTAATGACGCGCCTTCGAGCCGCAAGTGCCGGCTACATATCTGTAATTTGAGCGACGAAAGTGTCTTGGTCCAAGGAACTAGTGGGGAAATTCCATACCCTTCGTTCGCAAATAATTTAATTCGCCATAAGAAATATTTTTTTACTGTAGGAGTCACTAGAGACCTTGATAATTTTTCAGATGTCTATCGATTAAATATGGAGAATGGTGTATGGAACGCAGTTTATAGGTGTAGAGAGCTGGACCCCAATGAACCTTTAGGAAGAAACGGACATACTTTGGTGTATGATGGGAAAATGATTTATATATTTGGAGGATCCACTGACAGTCCTGGTCTCGATGCATTCATTTTCACTGTAAGCTTATTCTTAATTTTATTAAATAAGCTATGTAATAAGGAGAATAAGGAAAATTTTGTCTCCGGCATATTTATAAGATAAAATAAGTTTTTTAAAATTAAGTTTAGTATCATTAGGAAAGCATTGATCTGAATTTGGACCTTTTCAATGTTTAATATGCTTTTCAGCAATAGTTAATTTATTATGATAAGTTTTCAAAGTAATTATGAATAGATTTGAATTTCGCTATATAATACAAGTCATTTGTATATTTATTTTTTTTTTTTTTTGTTCATGTGAAGTGGTTCTATGTAAAAAATTAATTTATATAATTAAGAGACTAAGGGCCAGTTTTTCAATCCGGAATAAAATTTTATTCAATGCTAAAATGTATCCATATAGAATAGCGTTTTTATTTGTATCTTATACTAATTATTTACATTTGCTTTTACACTAATTTTGACTTATTTTTCTACATATTTTTACTCTTTTTTTTTTTATCTTATATCATGACACTGAAGTTAGCAGACGTCTAAAAATTTTTGATTTTTTTTTTTTAATTAAATTACAATTAAAAATATAATTATAAAAAATTGCACTTATAGTTTTTTAAGTTTTCAACATATGATATTTTTTTTTTAATTGTTTAATTGAAATTTTTTCGATAAAAAATTAATAAAAATTTTGAATTGTCAGCTAACTTGATTTTCATCTTATATCACACTTATTACTTCACTTATCACAGTTGCGTTACAATAATTTTTATACTTTTTCATACTTAAATTAACCTAGTATCTATACATGTATTTCGATGTCAGTCTTTCAATCTCTCCAACATACATACAGTTTCCAATTTATATCCATTTTAACATTGCAATTAATTTTTCCCTAATTAATTCTCCCTCTAGTTCGAGTATCCACTTGCTTCTTGCTTATTGCCCTTTTTCACTTATTTTTTCCTTTATTTCTTCACAGCTTAGTATGTGTATGAGTGAAAATATATTTATATATTTTAGGTACACAGATATACTGACAATAATAATTATATCTTGGATAAAATTTTATCCCGGATTGAAAAACTGGTCCTAAAAAAAAACTTTGTAACGGGTATATCTTCATCGTAAATTGGGTTTGATATTTTTTCATCAATAGTCATTTATGATTTGAATACTTGAGAGTCAGAAAAATTTTGTGACGAGCTTATTATTATTTTTAAAGGAATTTTTATAGCTAAATTTGGTATCATCAAAAAAGTCTTTACAACAATTTGTGCCTTTTTACAGTTTTATAATTTTTCCAGTGATAATCTATTTTTTATTTTAAAATTTTGGAGCAGTTTTGAAAATTTTTTTGTCCTATAAATTTTTTCCGTCACATTTGTCCATTAAATTATTTTTCATTGATCCATGTTATAACACTATCATTTTTTTAATTTATTTCAAAAGTACCCAAACTATGTAAAGTGTGATTATAAATATCAAAAAATCAATGAGCCAAAGTTTTCTTATTCACAATCCGTAAATCTCAGCAGTCGCATAATGACTGTAAGCGGCTAATGAGTTATTAGGTGTATACAGAAAAAAAGTCAACTCGAATCAAGAAAATAATCTTGAAAAACTTTATAGTCTTGTAACTAAATAATAAAATGACTCGAATAAATTAACGTTACAATTATACAAATATAAAAAAATAATTAAATAAAACCACATTTATCTAAAATTAAATAATTAAACATGAACTCAGTGTTTTATAAAATGATATCATTTCAACTTGAGAAACCGTGTTTGATTATTTAATTTTAGATAAATGTGGTCTTTTTTAATTATTTTTTATAGTCTTAATTTGAGTAGAAAAATTCTTAAACTAAGAAATTTTTCTTGGTTCAAGTAAATTTTACTTGATTTAAAAATTTTTTGTTTTGGTTAAAAAAAAATGAAACTTCAAAATTATTTTCTTAGGTCAAGATTTTTTTCTCTTAATTCAATTTACGATTCAATTCTCTTGATTCAATATTTCTTGTCAGTATATGAATGTTTATTTTTCAGAAACTTTCAGCGTTTGATTTAGAAAAATATCGATGGACGACTGTGGACACTATAGGAGACGAAGAGTCCACGCCACATTTTCCAACTGCACGAGAGGATTTTGGAGTTACACAATATACACATCCCAACACCGGAGAGATAAATGTAATTATATCCGGCGGCACTGTTGATCATAACGATGCTTTTGATGACGTCTGGCAGCTCAATTTGACGAGTTTAAAGTGGACATGTCTTGAGAAATTTGGAACTGCGTTACCCCATTCCGTTGATAGCCATTCAATGAGTGTTTCTCCGACAGGGAAGCTATTCACGTTTGGTGGATTTATTGCAGATGAGAAGGCACATGTAAGTATTTATCTTATCCATGATCATCATCAAGATCAACTCCACTAATAATATTTATTGTAATTTAGTTTCAGGGGTCATGTTCATCTACATTACATTCGGCTTGGCTCACAATCCCAAAACTTACTGAAATTTGTTGGGAAGCTCTGTTTTTTTATTATCCAGATTTGAAATCTATGACTGACAAAGAAATCAACGCTCTTGGTATTCCCTTACAATTACTCAAGTCGAGAATAATATGATGAAATGTTTATAGACATTTCGTTTCCTTTTACATTTTACCGTACTGAGTCACCGCACTGAATTTTGTATTTTCAAAGATTTTATATTTCATAAATTTACTATATTACCATGCAAGCTCATCAGATAGATTTTTTATATTTATAAAATTTATAGTTTATGATTTTTTTGTTACTTTAAATTACTGAATACCCTTGAATAAAAAATAATTTATTTTATACATTATATTATTACTTTGTTGTACAGAGTAGTTTTAATAATATACAATATTATAATTAAAATATAAAATTTATAATCTTTAATTAGTAGTCACAACTTTAAAGCTACGATTTAATTAAGAAATTTGCGTAAAAATTTTTTGTATGGAAATAAAAACGAACTGTAAATATGTAATAACTTATAAAGTTACGAAGAAATAAAAGTTACTGAGAGAAGAGATTGATATAGTTATTTTTGACCATTTCCGATGCAACTGGCTTGTGAAAATGTTTTCAAACGAATAACACTGAAATTAGCAGATATTTTACAAGTTTTTTATCTTTCGTCAAAAATAAACTCGGTCTAAAATATAATTAAAAAAAAATTTATTTATAATTTTGTAGAGTTTCTAAAGATAGAATTTTTTAAATAAATTTTTTTGCTATAATTTATTTGTTAAACAAATTCTTAAAGTTATCAAATGTTTCAATTTAATTATCGTTACAAATAAATAAATGATTAATATCATATAAATGAATAATAATTAATTAACTAAGTCATTATTCTTTTTTAACGTAAGCAAGTAGTGTCTATTTTTTTTTCATTACTACTTTCTTCTTATTTTATTAGTAATTTTGGTATTTCTTCACACACTGATACTAAAATTATCCCCAAGGCCGTTATTTTTTAAATAAATAATCAAAAGTAGCTTACAATTTATGTTTACAGTTAATTTTCATTTTATTTTTTTTCTTTTCTATTCTAAGCAAATTGAAATGAACACTACTTTTTAACAACATATTTTTAAATGAAAATAATAACAGTATTAAAACTTTAGATTTTCTTAAATCTCTGTTTGTGTCATTGTTATTATTATTTGGTGCCTTGTTTTTGTAAGAAGATTAATGCAAATATCAAGCTGTTTATTTTTTTGTTCAAAAATTTATTTTGAAAAAAAAAATGGGCATTAGAAAAAAACAATATTGGATAGACAACTTGCAAATTTTCATCCAAAGTTGTTTTTTCCCAAATCTAGCAAATTTATTTTCAACAAAAAAAATTTTCATTCATTCAGCTAAGAAATAGGATTGTTTAAAATTTTCAACAAATTAATTTCTAATTACAACATTAATTATTTTTTTCGAAGGAAATTTTTTCTCTCAGTGTATAATGAAAAAGATATTTAATAGTATACTATTCTTCACTATTATCCAAATTCAATAACTGAAGAAGAAATATCACTCAGAACCTAATGAGAGGTTTTCTAATCACAAATTCATTAATTTCAATACTAGATTTTATATAAATACTCTACATGGTCCATCTTCTTTTTATTTATATAATAATAAATTTGAATATTATTTTATTAAAAAGAATTTAATTAAATTGATAAATAATTGGATTCGTTGATTATAATTTGTTTATAAATTGTATCAAGGTCAACAATATTGGGTATTTCTTCACACACTGAATACTCAAAATTATCCCCAATGGTCCGTTATTTTTTAAATAAATAATCAAAAGTAGCTTACAATTTATGTTTACAGTTAATTTTCATTTTATTTTTTTTCTTTTCTATTCTAAGCAAATTGAAATGAACACTACTTTTTAACAACATATTTTTAAATGAAAATAATAACAGTATTAAAACTTTAGATTTTCTTAAATCTCTGTTTGTGTCATTGTTATTATTATTTGGTGCCTTGTTTTTGTAAGAAGATTAATGCAAATATCAAGCTGTTTATTTTTTTGTTCAAAAATTTATTTTGAAAAAAAAAATGGGCATTAGAAAAAAACAATATTGGATAGACAACTTGCAAATTTTCATCCAAAGTTGTTTTTTCCCAAATCTAGCAAATTTATTTTCAACAAAAAAAATTTTCATTCATTCAGCTAAGAAATAGGATTGTTTAAAATTTTCAACAAATTAATTTCTAATTACAACATTAATTATTTTTTTCGAAGGAAATTTTTTCTCTCAGTGTATAATGAAAAAGATATTTAATAGTATACTATTCTTCACTATTATCCAAATTCAATAACTGAAGAAGAAATATCACTCAGAACCTAATGAGAGGTTTTCTAATCACAAATTCATTAATTTCAATACTAGATTTTATATAAATACTCTACATGGTCCATCTTCTTTTTATTTATATAATAATAAATTTGAATATTATTTTATTAAAAAGAATTTAATTAAATTGATAAATAATTGGATTCGTTGATTATAATTTGTTTATAAATTGTATCAAGGTCAACAATATTGTATTCTAAGTTTGTTGCAAATTCGTTTATTAGTTTGAACAAATAGAATAAAATCTCAGAACCACTACAATCATTTGGTTTCAAAGAAAATCAGTTATTTTTTTTTTTTTTTCATGAATTTAATTTTATTTTAATACAGGCTTATCGAATATAATTCACATTCCAATATGTTAGCTTATCGGATTTGTATAAGAAAAATAATTAATAAGTTGTTATGAAGTGACAAAAATATATCTTAAATTCCTATCGATTTTCAAAGAATGTCTATGAATTTGTAGGTATGCTTAAAAAAAAAGAGGCTTATTTCATTGCAAAATCCCCACCACAAAACTTTTCTTCTTAATGATTTCTTTTCAAATCGTTATTAGTTTCTTGAGTTTCGTCTTCTAATTCAGTTACATTTCTAAATCTTCGTCTGTCATAATTATCATCGTGACATTTTTGTAATTTGGAAAAATATTTTTTTATTTCTTGTCCAAATTATTGAAAAACACCTGCAAAGTATAAAACTTTGTAGAGGGAGAGCATTGTGTTAATTACTATTGGCTAACTAATTCCTGGATCTAATTCTAACTGTAGCCTAAGTAATTTTGCTTCATTATAATCTTAGTGCCGTCACAAATCACACATATTGTTTAGTGTAACTAATACAAACTTTTTGCAGTTAACATATCAGTGAAATAGACAAATCTAAAGTGTTTAAAAAAAATGTACGAATTTAAGAGACATACTGTTATAGGTGCCGCGCGACCTCAAGGTAGAATAAGCTCAACAATGTACAGTGATGGGAAGCTTTTGTACGTTTTCGGTGGATTTGATCCTACTAGTGCCCGTTTTCAAGAATTCTCGAACAGTGTGCCTCCTCCAACACATAAGCCTGATTTTCTTGATCTATGGGCTTACGATTTGTCAAAGAGAACGTGGACTTTAGTTATAGATAAGGATAGATTACTATTATCAGATTTAGTTAGTGACAAAATAATTACCGCAATATTTTATCCGCATTGCCTTATGATTTACACTTACGCCACTCAGCCTGGTTGGGAGCGAGTAGGTCGTAAAGTTGGTGTTATTGGATATAGTTATAAAGACAAAAAAGTTTCTACTCGATATAAAATTGGAAAACAACCAATTGATTCAGCAGCAAGTAACATGATTAGTCATGAAAAATCTATTTACGGAATACGACTTGCTGGATTTAAAAAAACCAGTTTTGATGTCTATAAAATAGATTCGGACACTTTAGAATTCAGAGCCATCTCTAAGTATGATAAATCCAAGAACTGCACTTATTTGGTAGCATCTCAACATACTTTAGCGTACGATGAAAAGTCCATTTTTGTTATTGGTGGATATATTCCTCTGGATACTGGAGAAAAATTTATCCCTTTGAGAGTAAATATTATTATTATTATTATTGTTATATAATTTGTTGGTTCTTGAGAGTAGTCAACTGTAACAGATAAATTTGCTATTAATTAATGTAAGGTATAAGATATTTTATGCTTAAATAACTTAAACTATTACAGAGCATTCCAGCGTTCGATATTAAAAGCGAAACTTGGAAACTTATGGACACTTATGAAGATGAGAAACGGAAATCAGATGTTCCAGCCTTCCCAGTGGAAAGAGTGGATTTTAGTATAACGCAATTTACAGACCCACACACCGGTGACGTAAATGTTGTTATATTTGGAGGAACCCCGCCCCCTTGGGAACAAACAGAAAGAGGAACAGGAGATAGAAATGATAATGTTTATACCGACCTTTGGAAATTAAATCTCAAAAGTATGAAATGGAAATACTTGGGAGTGATACCATCTGAAATAGGTACTAAACCTTCTGTGACCGTTTCACCTTATGGTCAGTTATTCATCTTTGGAGGAATAATAAAGGACTCAAACGGCGTAGTATGTATTCATTACCTTTTAATTCAATCTTCTGACTAAATTTAGTAGGAAATAATATATATATGTTTTAAATAATTTCTGTTTTAGAATAAATCTTCGTCGGAGATTTATTCAACCTGGCTCTATGTTCCAGACTAAAACAAATTTGTTGGCAAGCTGTTATGCAACATATTCCAGATATATCTTCAAAAACTAAAAAACAAAGAAAAGCACATGGAATCAAATGGAAGGTTTTCCTATCAGTAGCTCAACGATGAATTGATTACTAAACTTTATATGATACTTTAAATAATCCAATATTTTTTTATTTTGATAATTTTTCAACTTTTTAATAATACATTTGGAATTATTGCACTTATAAATTGTACTTATTTCTACGATCATTGAAAATTGATTATAGTTTTCAACTCAGAAAATATACACTAATAAAAAAATTAACTTGATTTAAAAAAACAAATCTTGAACCAAAAACATATTATTCTCAAGATTTTGATCATTTTGACTCAAGCGAACGAATTGTTGAAATAAGTAAAATTTACTCGAATCAAGCACAATTTCTTAGTTATAGAATTTTTCCATTTGAATAGAAATTATCGAACTCTTCAAAACAATGATTTTGTTTCAAGTTTTTTTTTTACTTGAATCAAGTTAATTTTTTTTATTAGTCTTAGATCAAAGAAAAGGTGTGGTCATTTAGTATCAAATAACAATTTTTGAATAATTAGTCCTTCTTTGTAACTTGAATTTAACTTCTATGTAAACACGCTGAATATTTCATTGTTCTCTCAGTATGTTGATTTATCAGATCTGTGTAAAAAATTCTTTAACAAATACAAGATGTTCTAGAAAAGTAAGATGAAATAAATTTATTTTTAAATTAATATTTTTTTCTTTTAATTTGAATTTCTTCAATTGTTTCCAGATTCAATAAACTTTTAAAATATTTATTATTACTATTTTTATATTTTTGTTATTTGTAAAATATTTTCCTTTTTTTACTTTTTTTATTTAAAACATTGAGAAAAAATATTTGTAACAAAACTCAACATAAATAGAGTTACCTATGGATTTCCATGGGCTCTAACAATAACCTCAACGATTCTATTGTTTTATCTTGCGTAATAACAAATATTATTGACAACAAAGTGATTAAATAAATAATCTTTTTTTAATTATCTACGTATTATTAAAATGTATCAATTCAAGCAACTTGAATTTAATCGGCATTTTGCGAATAGTATTCCACACCCTGAAGGTATAGAGTGAACTCATCAATTTACAGTAATGGCAATGATTTGTACATCTTCGGTGGAATGGGTACAGTGACAGCTCTTTTTCGTCAATTGGGTAATCAGACAGTTCCTTTAGAAATGAACATTCTTATTAAAGATACGTGGAGTTATAATTTGTCTTCAAAAGAATGGAAATTGTTGATGAATAAAGACAAAATTAATTTATCAGATAATGTAATGCAGAGAGTAATCGGTGTAATGTATGAAAAAAATTTTTTGATTATTTCCACTTCTCACTTTAATTTTGATGATTTACATCCAAGTTTGAAATCCTGTTTACGTATATGTGAGATTTAAAAATCAAAAGTGTTCTTGTTCATAATACAAGCGGAGAGATACCAGAACATTATTCAACAGCGAAAAATATGATTCGCCATGAAAATTTTTTTTGTACACAGTATAAATAGATAAATTTGGAGAAGACAACTTTACTGTCTATCAGCTAAACACCAACACTCAAGTATAGAAAATTGTGTATAAAAGCGAAGAGTTCGAGAGTCGTCTTCTGAATACATCTCTACCTACTTTAGTTTATAATGGAAAATCAATTTTTGTATTTAATATTTTACATTTTGTTCTGGATGAGGCGGTTGCGATAATTCCTTTTGATGTAATTATTATTAACTAATTTAATTTTTTTTTTATTTTTAATGTATTAAATCAAATTCAAGTGTAAAGACCAAACTCTAAAGTTGATCTTTTTTTATGACTTATGAATACAACATTGCGAAAGTATTATATGACATTGAAATTGGCAGAAACTTTACAATTTTTTAATTTTTCTTGAATAATACCCAAGATCTAGAAAATTATTCATAAGAAACTACACTCATAATTTCTTAAAGCTTCTGAAAATGGAATTTGTTAAATATATTTTATTAGTTAAGAAGTTTATAAAAATTGTCTGATGTCTATCGATCTCAGTATTATGTATTCTTCCGACATTATCAGGTATCTAGATATAACAGACAAAATGTATTAAAATTAAATAATATTATTTATATATGTATATTACCATATACAATGTAAATACTGGAATCAGTAGACATCTGAAGATTTTTAGAATTTTTATAACAATTCAATTGTGGTAAAACAAAATATTTTTTTTTAAATTAGCACATAATTTTTTTTATTTTTAGACGTGGAAATTTTTATTGAAATTTTTTCATAATAATTTAATTTTTATAAAAATTCCAAAAATTGATGGATGTGTGTTAATTTCAGTATCATAAAATTAAAAACAATTTCATAATTACATTATTAAATAACAAAACAATTCTTCGAATAATCCGTTAACGCATATTCATACCCTTTACATTTGAATTTCGTTTTAATTAAGACTTGAAATTAATAAATATTAGTTACTTATTATTATATCATAACATTCTCTAATACTTCAAACTTGTTAATTGTAACAAATTGTTTTCATCGATTATTAAGATTATTGATTAAATATTTAATCCTCGAATACTTTAAATTATTATAGACGATTCCGCAGTTTGATTTAAAAGAATTTACCTGGAAAATGGTAAACACTCATGGAGATGAAAGTCAAGCAGTACATTTTCCAGAAAAAAGATTGGATTACAATGTAACTCAGTACAGAAATCCACTACTAACTGGTGATATGAATGCCATTTTAACAGGGGGATATAGTAAGAGTAATGGTATATTTATAGTGATGTAATTTTATGTTTCAGGATACATGTTCATCTGCGGTTTATTCAACCTGGCTTTCTGTTCCGAAGTTAGAAGATATTTGTTGGCTGGCTGTTCTCCACTATTATCCGAATTTAGCTTCAAAAACTAAAGAAGAAGTAATGCCACTTGGAATCTCATGGGAAGTATTCCAATCACGAGTTCATTAATTTCATTACTTGATTCCGTATAATCCTTTACATACTTTAATATTATTTAAAAAATTTTAATTATTTTGTTATTTAAAAGTTCTTATTTAATCGAAAAATAACAGAATTATCGAGTTATTTCTTTTCCCTAGCGGATTCCTGGTGACGGTTAAATTACGGTCAAACGACGGTGAATTCACCGTAAATTCACTTTACCGATGGAGGAAAGTCTATTGGTGGTCGAACAACCGTCGTTCGACGGTGAAAAATAAGTGAAGTTGTGAAATGTTCTGACGGTGATTGCATGGTTCATACAGCAATCATTCACAAGATTTTCTCCATGTGTTTCCCACTCAATAACGATGATTTTTCGACCTCTTGATCGTTTTCAGACATAGATACAACGGTGAATGACTAGTAAAAATTCGGTGAATAAAGAGTATTTCGGTGGTGAATCCACGGTAGTCTGCGAGTGAATT